GACCCAACAACAGTCAAGGGATGGAGGCCCATCGCTCTTCTTTCTTGCCTAGATAAAGGTCTAGAAAGGCTCTTGGCTAAGCGAATAGCGCACCTCGTCGTCATCTTTGATGTAACGGGACAGCAACAATTTTGCGCGCTCCCGAGGCACTCAGCAATGGACCTCGTCTCCTGTGTGGTACACGACATTGAAGAGGCAAGCTCCCAAAGATGGACGGCTACATTTGTCACCCTGGACGTTCAAGGTGCTTTCGACGCAGTTCTCCATAACCGTCTAGTGATAAGGATGCAGGAGTAAGGGTGGCCAGACTCGATACTCAAGTGGACGACCTCGTTCCTAGCACAACGAATGGTCCAAGTGCGTTACTTTGGAGGAGTCACCGCTCAGCTACAGCTAAGCTGTGGAGTCCCCCAGGGCTCACCGATATCCCCACTCCTTTTTCTTCTTTACATGGCAGAGCCAATGCGAAGCGGAAAGCCAGGTATGAGGTTCAGCTACGTCGACGACTTCGGAATCATCGGATTTGGCCGTACCATAACGGAATCCGCCGCTGCGGCCCAGAGTGAAGTCGACGATCTCCTGGATTGGGCGGGAAAAAATGCGGTTGCTTTCGACATAAGTAAGTCTGAAGTAATCCAATTTCCAGCACGGTGCCGCGAGCCTGCGAAAGGAATCTATGTCAATGGAACACTTATCGAGCCGGCTGAATACGTTCGCTAGTTGGGTGTCTACCTAGATCCCTGTCTGACCTTTAAGCACTATGTAACAACATGGTGCGGTAAAACCATGAAAATTGCACAGAACCTGCGCCGCTTCAAAACTGCTCTCCAAGGAGCCGCCCCAGGAGCGCTTATCAGAGCAGTCGACATGTGTGTTGTTTCTATTGCGACATTTGGTGCGGAGATCTGGTGGCCAGGTCTCAAACGCCCTACGAGAAAAAGCATGACAACCCCACCAGCGGCACATCTATATGGTATGATCGACAAGGCTGTCTTGATGGGTCTACGAGCTAATCTCCCCGTAATGAGGATGACAGCGAACGTTGTACTGCATAGAGAAGGTGGAATTCAACGGGGCAAAATCATTATGGAGGGTAATTGATCTCGACTCTCAGTCAGCCTCAAAATTCTTGATGACCGCCATCCGCTGAGGATTCGTGCGGCTGTGTGCCCAAATAAAGGCACGCTGAAATACAAGATTAGAAATCGAGGGACTTCGGTTCCCGAAGTAATAATGTCACGATTACAGCGAGCGTACCGACAATTATTAGAGGCAGAGCACGCGGAACCACTGCCGCCTACATCCTACTTACCGAAAGCAGGATCTAAGGAAGAACAAATTGAGATCTGTAGGCAATGGATCAACCAGGTGCCGAAGTCGGAAATTTGTGCCTACTCGGATGGCTCATCGGAAGGGAATGGACGCTCTGCGTGGGGTTTCGTCCTGAAGAGAGACGGGCAGACTTTGCTCACAGGAAGTGGTATCAGGCATAGGGGGGAAGCCTTAGATGCGGAAATCACCGGGGCAAGGAAGGCTCTTGAAGCAGCATTGGGACTCCAGAGCGCGAGACAACGAGTCTACCTACTAATGGATAGTCAACAGGCGATCAACGCACTTGAGACAGGCAAGTCTACCACAAGCCACGACGAAGTACGGAAATTTCGTGAGTTGTCCAGATCAGCTCGCGTGATAATTAAATGGGTACCTGGACATTCAAGAATTCAGGGTATTCTAGAAGCTGACTCGGCCGCCCGGTCTGGCCCACGAAAGCTGCCTAGCTCTGAAATATGGCCAGAATCCATAACTCTGGCATTTCTGCATGGCCAAATGAATTGTTCGCGGCAAGCATTGCTTGACAAAAAGTGGAACGAGGCTTGCCCGCCCCGACATCGCAAGCTCGACCTGTTTCTGCGACGACGAAGACCACCTGAGCTGGGACTTTCGAGGTTCCTACTCCGAAATCTGATTGCAGCTCGTACGGGCCATGGCAATTTCGTGGCGTATCATCGCCGTTTCAACAATATGGACGCTCTCATGGAGGACACCTGCGGGGAGGAGACCACTCCAACCCATTTCATTCACTATCGACTACATTCTCACGTCACGTGTCGACTCAGAGGGAGATTGTCACACAGTGACTTCATCCAAAAGCTTCACGGGCCAAAGTGTCACGAATTTTTCAATAACTTTGAGAAGGAAACCTGCTGTTTTGGGTTGCCATCTACAAATTCGTCCTCTGATCTCATCGAGGACCATATAAATTAGTCATACAGATGATATGACAGGAGGGAATACAAGGCGAGAAGGTTTGTTTTCTGACCGGAAATTGGGAAATCTGCAGGGCTGGATAGTTTTGTGGGTAGGAGTTTGGTTTCAAAGGTTGAATTTATTTACGGTCGCGAATTTTTAACTAGCTACTTATTGTTTAGTGGTTCATGCGGTGGGATCAAGTTGGGCTTATCAGAGATAGGATCTTGGCTGTGAAAACCGGTCCTCGACTCTTCGGGGATAACAGGTTAGACCTAGGACCTAAATGAATAAACAAACAAACATAAGGTCTCGTGTTGGCCAGCTCAGTCTACATCAACTACCCGACGGAAGAATAGATTAAATAAACAATATGTAAGGGGGAACTTAGTTGAATTACATGATTCCCTTTCGCTCAGACTTGTTGTGCTTTTCCAAAGAAACTTGTCACACGCACCCAGCTATTAAATGCGTGAACTCCCTCCGCCGAAGCGAGAGCCCAAGATATGCTGGGACTAGGATTCTGTGCTCTGTGAAGCTGTGCCTGGTATTGCCCGAGGTGGCAATAGAAATAGTGGTAGGGGGACTTTTCTTCTCTGCATGAGCAGGTTAGAATGGCTTTTTCGATATATCCGTGTAAGATAGTAAAGATAGAATTTACCACTAGGGAGTCACGTGCTACAATGTTTTGTTTTGTTCATTTACGTGCTAGGTATAGTGATTCCCGTTGCACTCCTACTGGAGCTTAAGCACGGGTGGGGCCGGGCTGGATCAGGTTAACTACCATTAATTACCATTAAGTACATCTACTTCGTCTCACCTGAATGACCGGACCACCTCAGACTTCACCCATGTGTTGAATCATGTCAAGCCCAATCGTCCAGAGAACCCCATTTTGGCGCGCCTAAGCACGAATTCCTCCTCAGCCTCGGCCACCACATTCCCGAGCCCTTGACACCTCGGCGATCTATAACGTTTCCTTTCGATTCATCCCCAGCTTTAGCTCATCTCAGCAACTCCTCATCTCATCCAGGGGTCGTTTTCTTCATTGGAGGCCTCATCCAGTCGCCCACCAAGGCCTCCTCAGTTTGTATTCCCTTTCGGTTCCTTCATACAGCATTCCTCTATCCTTCAGCCGATATCGTCATCCCAGAAACTTTGTAGAATGTCCGCCCCTCCAGCCTTACCCCGTCGCTGTCGTATCCCTAACCGTTGAGGTTGTCAGGAATGCCTACTGTATAATCTATATACGTGGAGGTAACAAGAATCTAGTGTTCTATAATTCTGGTCTGGCCTTTTGGCCGAGTGGTTATGCACCTATCTCATGCATAATGTAGGACAGCAACCTCTTGCCTGGCATTCTTGTCTTGGTCCTTGTCTTGATCCTTGTCTATGCTCTGCTGTCTACATGCCGCTTCTGACAGAGGTCGAAAACGCGACTGAGAGCTTAAGACCGAGGCACCGGTGTCCCAGCCTTTGCCGAACGCTCTAGTCGATGTGCCGGCGAAATGTCGTACGTATTTCGTCGATGGCGATTCGTCGCAGGTCGAGTTTTTGGTGCCCCTGGCCGAGGTGAGGACGCATTAGCGGCCGGTATTTCGACCGTACCTTCACAGCGGCTGGCAGTTGCGGAGGGTCGGACATCCTCTTGCTTCTTTATTGGCGATTTAGCTTTTGGAGGTATGGGATTGCTTAGGTAGGTGGTGAGATGATTGTTGAGAGGGCCGCGAGATGAGTTTGGCTAGGAGTGATTTTCCAGAGAAAAATAAAATAATATGTTGAAGGTGTCGGCTGTTGTAATACGAACATCAGACAGGTTGGAGGCTGTCTGCGGTTCGTATCTGGGTTGTAGGTGGTTGATTTCGTTGACTTATGCAGTCGTGAAATCTCTGCCAGTCGGATTTTCGACCAAAAACGAGCCAACACCACTCCTCCCGATCGCCAACTCGAGAAAAACTCTCAAATTCACCGTTTGTCGTGATTGAATCTCTGCTCTAGGTGAATATTTCACTCCCAGGTTCGTAGAGGACACCACTGACAGGTGTTCAGCCTTCGTCCTCCTGTGCTAACAATGTGTTGGGCCTATTGGCAGAAGTTTCGTAGGCCAAGCACAACTACCGAAGAAGCTGGACAGGGAAATGACTCGGGTAAAAAATGGACTGTCAATACGTACGTGGGTTGTGGGTTCCGGTCAGTGCATACATTCTATATTTAGAACGGCAGGTTATTCTATTCCTAGCGCATCTCTATCTTTAGAGATCAAGTCAATCATGATCGTTGTTATAGTCGTAGAATTCCGGGAGAAATAGGAAAACATTTGTTTTTACCGAATTATCTTTTACTTTAATTACATACACTTCGCCAGTCACAGGTCAGGCTCCTAGGTAACTGACAAGAGGTCCCTGCCGCCTTCACCGATCCCGTTCCTGCGGCAGAAATAAGCTTGGAACCCCAACAATACAGAGAGAATCACAGGACATGGAGGGATTTCGTGAGATAGCTACCAAGTTAGCAAGCAGCTAGATTGGCAAATTAGTGGGACGTACTCTATTTACAGTGTTAGATGTATTAAATTTACATGATAAAAGAGATAACTAGCCCAAAAAAAAACAGATGGCACGGGTTCTCCACCAAGATCGATAGAACTAAGTAGCCATCACTTGGAAGTAATGAGGTCCTCATACTAGAAGCCTTAGAAAAAAGGTAAGCTTCATTTCATTGAGATATTCTCATATTTCTTCATATTAATATCATTAACCTCTGTGAGACCCTCTTCTAGATCCTATAGGTGGCTGCTGACTAGCTTGTCCATACCGAGAGGCATAATGAAGTTCATCGCCCTGTGTACGGAGTCGTCGAGAGTCTTCATAAGATGAGAATGTAGTGTAATGCGTAAATTGACATATTATGTGAACCAAGTTGCCATAGAGTTCATATTCTAACATTCCGGCCAAAAACTGACCGGCGGAATTGATCATAATGTAATGTTGCGCCTGAACCCCTGCCAAATTGTTTAACGAGCCGCGAATTTAAATTACAGAATAAGGATATCAAACCTAAATTTGACACGTAATCACTTCCAATGCGGTGAAGGAAAAGTGTTTCCCCGGGAAAACGATCAAATGTGCATCTTTCCAGTCCATCAAGACCTCCATGGGTCTTGGAGTAAGCTTTTGCGGCTGCTGATTTGATTTTACTTGGGCCGTAAGTATTTTCTGAATAACAATTCATCCCAAAGTTCGAGTCTAAAATCGGAAGTTTTGGTTCAGAAAGTAAGGCTTCATTAGGTTCAGTTATGTGAATGGAGACTGAAGCTTCGGCAAGAAAAGCTACGGCGGCGATGGAAAGAAGCTTCATTTTGCGGAAAGCCTATGTCGTTTGGCTTGGGATCCGACGGGCTGGATAGAAGGGACAGTCGGGTGTCGAGTGGATGTAGATAGGAAAGATGAAGGATTTCTGGCGGAGACAAGTTTCTAACATAGCTAGCGATTGCTTTATATGTGTAGGATTTGGATGGGCGGACTTCTCATTATTTCTTCCCTCGCGAGCTCGATCCGAAGGGGGTCATCGTCCCGGCTCGAAAGTCTAGGCGGGATTCAACAGAAGATTCCTTTGAAATCAGCGGCGAATTTTGAGTTTGCCATAAATACCGCGCTTGCTAGAAATAAATCCCCGAAAAATCACGTACAGGTGTTGAGTTGCCCGTTGTCGACCATGGAAGAGTGCTAGGCTTCATAATTATTCGCGCTCGATCCAGGCTTACCGCACTCATGATGCTTGCGCAGGAGGGAAGGATCGAAAGAAGCCCGCCTCGGCTAATTCTTTTCGCACATCAAGTTCCGATTTGACCAATACTCCATCGTGAATTTGGAGATAATCTAGACGTTGGTCTGCTTCAGCTGGAATTCTGGCTACGACCGGCTCCTAAATTTACATCCGCGACGCTAGGGATCATGCCAAATTCTCCACACTGAAGCCGAGACGCTTTCCAAGGTGAGTGAGATGTAGCAATTTACTTTTACTTCACAGCGTCGTATACGACTTTCTGGTCATGACGCATTTTTTGCATAAATTTACAGTACAAAGTTTGAATGAAACATGAAATTCCACTGAACATTTCAGTGTCGTAATTTAATTCAATTTTTTGCCTCTATGGGCTTGGAAGGTAAAATAATGCTGCAGTCTTTGAAAGGTATTTTCAGACTTCCAAGTACTCGGCGAATATGACGAGCAATGAGCTCTACAATGTCAGCCATTGGAACAACTAATCACGGAAGACTTCGCAGCCCTCCCTTCAAACCATAGAGGCTCTACTCAACGGCAAATTTAGGGGTAGCAATAAAGATGTTATTTGCGAACTGTCAAGGTCAAGTTGTGAGAGAGTATCTTCGACTGGAGAGGAAAATATATGGGTGTAGCTCTGTTGTAAAGGTAAGAGCTTACCGAAGTTTATTGGCACAAGATTTTCGAATGACTATTGGTGAATCAGTGTGAACTAGCAATTATTTGACGCTCAAACCTATAAGTATCCATAATTTAGAAAGCGCTGCTTATATGTACATCTAAGGTAGCTAGACTATCGCCATTTGTTCTCATAACAGTATGACAGAATATTCTAGTATGCTCCATCTAGTAGTATAATCTAGAAAGACTATTCATTCAATGCTCCATTATTTCTCTACTCATCATGGAGCCACCTGGAAAGTCCTTCACTGTCAGTGACCATTACCCTTGTGCATCGTAATCCCAGCCATCACCAGCACAGAAAGCTCACATGGGGGGACTATTCTCAACACCTGTCAGTGGTGTCCCCTACGAACCTCCATTTCTCACTGTAGAGTCTGCAGAGCCGAGATTAAATCATAAGTCCTCACTTCGACGCGGATTCCAAATCGCTTTCGCCGTCTGTATCGTCTCCATCCTCTAAGCACGTCCCACTAACACAATTATCATGAAGCTGACCACGATCAGATAAAATGGATGGGTCGAAGCCCTTCTCATCAACTACCCTTGATCATGGAGCAGAAGCCATCCGATGAGTTTTAGGAGTGTAGCCAGCACTCGATTGTAACGGCTCGTGAGCCGATTAATTTATTCATTTTATTGCCCTTTCTGAGTCTATGACTATGTAGGACATGCAGTTCCTCTCTGCCTACAGGCCAAGGAAAACTATCCAGTGGTATAAATCTTCCAATAGTACCGCCCCTCACAATTCCTCAATCGATCATACACTTAGTGTCCTTTGCCTTTCACTGTCTCTCCTCTCCAGCCAACGAAACGACGGCCATTTGTGGGTGTATGGCAGCCGGGAAAACTTGCAAAAACCACTGGGCATGGGGCTCTTCTAATACCGACATTAGGACTAGATCCGAAGACACAGTGACCCTACTAAAGCGTTCGAAGAGGCCGGCCAGCTGGGTGCTGCAGACTTGTGGGCACCTCGGGAAATTCACACTCTGCCTTTCTAGCCTCCTTCCAACACCTTCCCGGAGGTCGTGCTGAAATGTCAGAAAAGTCAGAAAAGTCTTGACAGAGCGTGACTGCTGTATAGCTTAGCCCAACTTCTTTTGTGCCGTCCAGGGCGCTGGGGAGTGCCGTTGACTCATCGACAAAAAAAGCCCTCCTGGTTTGTTAGCCGGAATCCTGGCCTTGGCGCCCACGCTAAGTCCAAAGTTGAAAACCCCTCGAAAATATCAGTCCCAGTATGGTCTCCGGAGACCTAACTCTCTCGTTCCACTTCTCAGCCGCCTGTCCTTCCTCAAGATGTATAACCCCATTAGAGCAACAGTCACCCAGAAGCCAAGACCCAGGCTTTGTATTTTTCGAGTTGATTTCCTCCTTGCGGGTATAAAAAGCGTTGTAGATTTGTCGTGTGAGATGGCTGAAGATTAATGGGGCAAGCTCCTGTCAGCAATTGGAGCAACTTCTTTATCGATCGGTGAGGCGAGATGTGGTTAGAAAGAGGTCCAGGACTCAGGAGAAAATGGAAAGTGCTACATGATTGAGAAGTCGTCAAATGGAGGTATGTCTGTGTATACTTTCGACTTAGATTCGGTTGTGATTCTTCTTGGCTATCCCAGATATACAGAGCATATTAAGCGATTACACCGGCACCACTGAAAGGTGAAGAATTCATCTTTACCGGCTGCTGAGCCGATAGTAAGGCCTATAGCCTGCGTTGGCCAACGCCGGCGCCCTTTCCGCCCGCTGGCGCATCTGGTACTGGAAATGTCAGGGCGGGATTTCCGATGGGTGGAACTCGTCGTCTTCAAAGCTGATAAGTGAGGAGTGAGGTTCACGATGGAGATTGGAAACTTGTGGGGAAGTAAAATTTGATAATGAGTGTGGCAACAAGATACCTAAGAAGACATTAATCGAGAAAAAAGGGACTGATACAAATTGCGAAGCTGAACATCTGGCTGAGCCATTTCCTCCGCTTCTCATGATCAGAAGAATCCCTCAATATAATCTCCGGCTCGTCCATGAACTGTCTAACGCATGAAGCTATCTGGATTAGATTGTCAATCTCCTTTGATAATTAATCTGGGAAAAAGTATGCGGGCGATTCCTAGACCCTTAAGTCTCAATCATTTCCGAGAGCCTATATTGATTATCTATCCAAGGATACTTTTTATTACGCACAAGATTACTACTTTGCGCACGCCGGTCTCGGAGATGGTGTTGTGATTAATCTTTGTCGTTAGTATTGGCTAGTCGCATGGCTCGTTTAGAATCTCTGCCTCAGCATAGATTATTCAGGGCGTAACGTGAAAGCTCACAATACTGCTCGGACGCCCAGCAAGCACTCGGACGCGCGCCGTGAAGATTGTTTCGGGCATGGCGAAACTGATTGGATGGTAGCCGAGTGGTAGGGCGAGCGTCGGGAGTAACAACCATTGCAGGAGCTTAAACTTTCCATAGTAACACTTGTCCGCTCTTAGGAATAGATGCGAGCCACGTATCGGAGGAGAGCGCTGGCATAAATAAGCACGTCTTGTACACACAAATTCTCTCCTTTGAAAAATCGCCAACGATTGATCGTGCGTCTCAAGCCAACTTGAAGACTTCCCCCGACTTGCACATTGATAGTTGATTGGATCAAGTCGGCCTCGAATGTTATAAAGAAGGGAAGTAAAGCTGGATATGCGCACCTCGTGTGATTTCGTGTCTAGGCCTGCAGGTTTTTTGAGACTTTTTCCCAGGCACGCAGTTTCAATTGCTACCACTTTGTTTTTTGGGTTGAAGGTTCCGTGGAAAAGGTGGCTGAATTCCACGGGTAAATACTAAGCTGAATGGCTTTTCATCACGGGCATTATATCAATGATCTTACAAGTATCAAAAGAGGCAAGGAGCGCTGTAAAAGGTTTGGCCTGGGCCAGAGAGGAGCTCACCGAGCTAGACTGTTGTTGACTCAATTAGCGCAATTTGAATCTGATGCGACCCAGAACTTGTCCCTCGAATCGTGAGACAAGTGTGCGCGTGAGAAGACGCTCTCATGCTAGTTGAACTATTGTGAGTACAGCGACATGAGATTAAGGTCGAAGTGAACAGTAATTTGGAAGGTTCGGGCGGGCTTCAGGGGTCTCTGTAGACACTGAAGGGAATCGAAGTGTAAACTAGAGGTAGTCTTGAATTGGTATTGTGGAAAAAGGACTAAGCTTAAAGAATTATCCATAGCAAGCTCTAACCCTCAATTTACATGATGTATTCCTTACCATGTAAGCCGAGTAGAGGATACTTACTCTACAAGAAAATTAATGGTGAATAGCAGAGTAGAAGTTCTAGCAGAGACGATGCTGAGCGCTATGAAAGGATAAAAATGAAAATTTTGGTTTAATTTGATTCAACTAGAACTAACGACTGGCATGGGAGATCACTAGGTAGTAGGCCCCTTCTCCCCAGGCATCTTTCCACCCCATATTACTAAACATTTCTAGTTACCCATGCTGCAGGCCACGATAATTCTGCGTCTGATAACCAGTTCAAGTCGGGGCAGTAAGTGCCGAAATTAAAGTCCTATGCAGATCGCATTCAACACGTTGTTCGAATCCCTGATTCAAGTCATCGAGAGATTCTCAGTATTCGAATGAACACCCTGAGGCCCGGAATAGTGTCGCGTAGAAAATTGATAGTGGGATAACAAGGCCTGAAATATCTGGGTCGCCATTCCAATTGAATCATCAAGGCGCGACATACTGTTGGAATCGGGTTCGTGGTGTCACAGGGGCAGCTAGTTGGGGTGTAGTCAATTGATAATTATGGCGTAACTAAGCGAGGATACTTAGATTTAGATCTCTCCTTGTAGATTAGTTTCGTTCCTTGTGCAACTACAATTACATATTCTGAACATCCGAGTA